ATTCGGGGCAACTGGTACCACAGATCCACAGAACTGGTGATATCATGCTCAAGATACAACTGGGCATGGTCCTGAGCAACATGGCCTCTCTTGAAGTTAGTGTTTTGTTGGGAAAGGATGCATTTGAGGGAACCAGTGGTTCCTTTCAGCTTTCAATATCCTATAGGTCAAGGTCTTGCTTGGAGAAAAAACCATACATATACGGTAAAAGAAGGCAAATGGCTCCAAAATCGCTCAAAAAAAAAAAAAAAAAAAAAAAAAAAAAAAAAAAAAAGGATTACAAAGAAATCTTCTTCAGATCCTCCAGTTATATACATTTTCCATAATATTCTCTCGTGTATATTTTGCAACATACAGCAAGAAAGCAGTTATTGTCTGAAAGGATTTAGTTTGAATGCTTAAGTCAGTGGCAAGCTTTGTGGTACTCAGTGTTAAGAAGCTGAAAGCTGTTGCTGTCTTAGCAGAATAGCTTGAGAAGGTAAGTTCTCTTCCAATTGCTAATGATATTGTGGGTTTCATTTTCATTTAAGAGAAAGCTCATGCTAGAAGACATTCACTGTATCTGTAATGATGATATTGTAATAAGTTTAAATGAGTGTAATTTTCTAAAATCCTCAAAAATGTTCTATCATATTTTCTCTTTGCAAACTTCTTCCAAAAGTAACTCCTTACTTCCTTTGCACATGCTATCTCTGGGAAAAAAATGTAGTTGTAGGGAAGAAGGAGGAATAAAGCCATTCGTAAGTGAAGTAACGTGATGAACTTCTTAAAGATTAATGTATTTTGAAAAGAAGACAGGTAAAATGTTGTATAAACAAAAATTCCACTGCTTTTAGATCTCATGCTAACATACGGCTTTATAAATGTCAATTGAGTCCTCTGCCAGATACTCAAATATGCATTATCACTTTCTAAATTTGAAATCCCACCTAGAAAAGAAGAGCACACAATAAAATCATGGTATAAATGTAGAATAAAAGCCTGGCTTTATGAAGGAGTCCATGAGTAATGACTTTTTATACTGCTTAGTTTTAAAATTCCTCAATAACTGTGGTTAAAATGTTTTAAGTGCTAAATTGCAAGTTAGCTTCCCAAACTAATTCAAGAGGATGGTATAGTCAATTGCAAACCAAAGTTTGCATCTTTTCCTTGAGAGACTGGGCCAAAGCCAGCTGAAGCTAACTGGAGTCTTTCCAGAGAATTTGCTTTGAGCTTTGGAAGAGAAACAATATGTAAGAGCTCATGGCTTTCTAAACTCCTTTTGATCCCAAGCAGGATAAGCAAAGAAAGTAGAAGCTGATGAGTGGATACAAACATCTGACTGTTGGGTCTGAGAAGCAGAAGTGGCACATGCTAAATATTCTATTTCATTGCTGTGGCAAATGGTCCACACTGTTTGCAGGCAAGTATTGACAGCCCTCTTTCTTACTGGAGGTAGAGCTGCAGATCATACAAAGGGATTGGGTCCTCCTCCAGGAGAGCAAAATCCTTCCTCAGCTCTGTCCCAAGGCTTTTAGAAGACCCTCACCCCCCTAATTAATATGCCTGCAGGAGATATCAGCAATGCGTCTGGGCTTTAGCTTTTTACTGGTAGCTCTAGGTGTCTGCATACTAAATTTGACCTTTTCGCTTGGCATGATCACATTGCTAAGCCTGATCCCAGTACTTCCAAGTTCTTAAAATACAGTCTTAAATGTTAATATGCAGCATGAGATTCTGAGCTCCATCTCAAACAGCCATCTGTAAATTGCTTTGAAGTCAAAAGACTACCTGAAATTAAAAGATGTTTCGGATGCTCGTTTGTCCCATAGATACTGGCATCACAGGTCAATCAGCCAGTTTTGCAATCCTTTTCTCTTTTCATTAAAGCAGTGCCATAACAGACAGGAAAGGAGGAGGAGGCCAAACAGCTATGGAAGGTTTAAAGCAGGATAAAAGCTCTGGAGAAGTTTTCTCATTCATCCTGCCACTGCTGGAAGTGAGGAGGAGAGGCAAAGCAGGGTGTGTGGCTGGCAGGAAGCACCATCTTCACCCACAGCTCAGACACTGCAGGCCTCACCCCTTGCTCAGCCCATTGCAGTTACATTGCATTTTGCATCTGCAAAGAGCAGGGTCATGCCAGTTTAGCTGACAAGGGTTGAACTAGATGAAGAATCTCCTGCCCAAACTGCTGTGTATGCTAATTGCTACGGCCCTACAATCAATAATGTTTTAAAAATGCATTACATTTTTAAATGTCTTTTTCGGAGCTAGAGGATATCAGATCCCTAGGATTTCAGAAAAAAAAAAAAAAAGAAACAACAGAAAAAAATGCTCTGAAATGTTGGACATCTGCATTCTATAACAGCACAAATGCAACTTTAAAACTGTGCTCCTGTCTGCCCTAGCTCCAATTAATAATGCACTGATCTGTAGCAATAGGAGTTTCCCAACAGATTTCTGGGGATTCATTTAGATCAAGTTCAGTGGCAGTCTTGGCAGTAGATGCTCTGACATATCTGAATAATTGGTGAAATTGTCTGCTGTGAAATGATTAGCTAGGCATCGAAACACGCCGCTTCATCTTGCTTCATTCATTAGAAACACTTGCAGAACCCAAACCCGAGTCCTCCCTGCTGTCTGATGTTGAGCTGATTGCCTTGCATGACAAACTTCTCCCCTCTTGCCTAATGCAAAACTGCTGACTTGGCTCCTTTTCCCCCTCTTCATTCTTCAGTTTTAACCAAAAGCTCAGTGCAAGTCTTTCAGGGTCCCCAGCATGCACCATTACTGAGATTTCAGCATAGTACCACCCAGTTTGCATGCACAATCTCTGATGTTGAATGTGACTCCTAGGACATTCTGAATTTTTATTTTTTTTGTTACAGTAATTAACTTTTTTTTTTGTACCTCAGCTGTAATGCAATGAACACTTAGGGTAAATTTTCTTCCTCAATCCCCAGACCTCCTTATTCCCTAACAAGTTCAGACCATTACAGACTTATGCTGGTGGCAGACCTGGAGAATAACTGGGAGTGTAAAACAATGTATACAATGAAAAACAAATACCTTAAAAGTGAAAATAAAAATAATGTTTCAAAACTGCATGTTTTTTTGTTTTTTTTTTTAACATTTTTTTTAACTGCTGGAGAGGTAGAGGTGTTAGAACTAGCTATAGTCCAGCTTTGTCTAAGGTAAGGGGCTAAGATGTAGGACTGACATAGAATCATAGAATTGTGCAGTTTGGAAAAAGCTTCAGGATCATCACATCCAACAGTCTGATATGGAAAAGTGGAGCCATCCCTTTCCTGGGGCTGGAAAGCTGGCCATAACCAAGATGCTCTTTGGGCAAACACCTCTTCTGGATTTCCTGCGCTGGGGTAAAATATCAGATGTAGATAAAAATATTTTTCTGCAGAAAAATATAAATTCTAATAAGAAGAGTCCTTCTACTGAGATTTTTAGGTTGGAAATTTCATGCAACACACTTTGACTAATTCTGATTTTAATATTTTTTCAAGTGCATGTAGACTTATTAGGACCTTGATATAATTCACTATTCAAACACGTAGTGCTCAATAAGCAGCTCTCATCAAATAAAACAGTCCTTATACAGTGCTGATTCACTTTTTGCACAAATTGATTTTAAAAACCTTCAGAAGCATTCAAACCTGTATTTGCCCTGTATTTCCCCATCAGAAACTTCAAAACAGACTGAAATGGGCATTTAGTATTGCTGCAACATGACAAATGTCCTCATCTGGGCACGTTCCAGACTTTTCTGTGCAGAGACTGGTCCTTGACAGTGCTTCCTTGCTTAAGTATCAGCTACCTGTCAGTCATAGACTTTGGAGCTGACTTTCCAGGAAGACAAAAGCACTCTCCACACCAAAGAAAATCTACAATAATCAACACTGGGCGCATGGACAGAGGAATGCTGTCTGGGCAAAATACAAAAGGCAGCAATAAAACATCCTGCTGCTGTGAAACTTTCCCATACAGCCTCATGGAAGCCAGCCTAAAGCCAGAAAAGCCAGTCTGTGAAAGAGGTGGAAAAATTCACAAAGTGAGAAGATCTATGAGAGGAATTTGGGTTTGCCCTCTGGAGCAGTGTGATAGATGTTAGCCCTGCACATGGCTGGGGGAAAATGTCCTTAAGATTCCATAGTGTTTCTGAGAAAATGATGCAGAGCTAGTATGGTGCAAGCAGGGGCCATACGCTGCCACCCTTCCCCCCTTCTATTGTCTTTGTAGCCCACAGGGCTGCACCATAATCTGGTACAAGGAAGCAGCATGTCTGTGGGGATTGATCTCTCAAAACAAAATTTAATCATAACATCTTCTAGGAGGAAGTACCCAACTCCACATGGTCGCCTCCTTGTCCTCCCTATGGGAACTGTTTGGACCTCTTGTAGCATCTTCCTGGCCCCAAGGGCACAGCAAAGCTCACCTTTTACCAGGCAAGTCCAGAAATCGCAAACTCCCTTTGGGGCACCCTGTCTGCAGTAGCTTGCAGGCGTGCCTGATTGTGAGTTGCAAACAAGTATGTATCAGTAAGCTCACATACTTTAATATTAGGTGGCTTAAGCCGCTCTCTTTTCATCAGGGAGCATTTTTTCTTAATGTTTGAATGGTTAGGGCTGGCAAAACAGCCTTAATGGATGATATTTGGCGTTTCATGTGTTTTCCATGCAAAGTGAGCCAATAAGCCCAAGGAGGCTGAGGCTGGCCAAATCCTTCTCCTTGTTGTTCAGACTTGATGTGTGCCAAGGAAGCTCCACGAGTGGCTTCACACAAAGGTGAGAAGGCAGCAGGGGGGAAAGGAAACCTTGGCTGCCCATTTCACCTCTCCTCAAATGGCTCCCAACATCCAGGAGAAAAACTACACAGGAAACCTCTCCCTGTGTCCGCAGCCTGGCTAATGGGAAACCTATCTACTCCAGAGCAATATGTGATGGTCCTTTATTTGGAAGCATTTTCTCTCCCACTCCCTCACCGCTGGTGATGAAAACCCCCAAATTTGTCCCCGAAGCAGAGTACCTGAGTGGAAAAGGACAACTGTCTGCTGTGGAAAGGGCAGCAGATTGGGCTGTGGTTACTGACCCTGTCTGCGGCTGAGGGCTCCACTGATGGAGGAGCCTCTGTCCAGCCCTCAGCGATGCTCCAGCCTTCCAGAGGTGGCTGGCAGATGTTGCTGATGTCTTTGGCTGCCCTGTGTGTCCCTCGTTCAGGCCCTGAAGAAAAAGAAAAAAAAAAAGAATTAGACTTACATTTAAAAAAAAAAAAAAACAGTTTGGAAAATATGTTGCTTAAAATCAACCCCCATTTAAAAAAATTAGTTCAAGATGTTGTCACTTCCCAAGCCAGGAGACTTTGGGAGTACAATGCAGGAAGCCCGCTCAGCCCTGGCCGTCCCTTCAGACAGGGACAAGTTATTGTGGCGTGGGTGAGATAAAAAAGGCCTTGAGCACCCAGACAGAATTTTCCTTTGGCTGTTTGTTGTGTATGCATAACCCTGTCTGTGCTTTGTGCTGGCCAGGGGATGGAAAAGAGGTTTGTGGTCCTTTTTTTGCCACACCTCTGTGAGCTCACCTGTTTTGGGCAAAATACAAGCAGTGCTATACATCCAGTAGCATATATGTCATGGTAAAACCTCTTTCTGCCATGTCAACAGTGGAACATAATGGAAGAGAGCAGCCACAGACCCCTTCACTGCCTTGCTGTGCCCTCAGCTCAGGGCTGGGCAAGCTCAAAGCCAGCCCCTGCTATAAGAGCAGCAAGTGTAGCCCTGTTGCAGCAGCAGCAAAGCAGTGTTGCAAAAGATCTGAGCTTGGCACCACATTAGAAGCTCCAGTTGTTTGAAAGCATGGCAAAAGATAGCCAGGAAAGTTAGTGGAGGAAGGCAGCAACATGGTGCAAAGATCAGATCAAACTAGGGATATTAGGTAGAGATGCTAGCAGGATGCTGATCACAAGTAATGCAAGGGGACAGTGAACATGAGAGACAGGAGTAACTAAAACTCTTAAGTAAGCAAGAATACTGCACTGTATATGTGCTAAATTGAGCATGATATACATGCACGTGCTAAGAGCACTGAGGCACAAGGACGCCTATTTGTTATTTGTTATCACAAAATATATCTTCCAGCACGACAGTGCAATCACAGTCATGATTTATTTTAGGAGGGAGAGAAGAAAGGAGGAATAGCTTTTTTTTTTTCTTTCTTACCATTTCAGGACTAGATCCAAGTCTCTCTAAAGTCAACGGGCATCGTTCCAGTTTCATTGGGTTTCAGCACACATCCTGATTACAGTAGAACAAACTGGTATTATTATACAGGCAGAGAAATTGTCTGTCACCTTTAATTAGGAGTATGTTTCAGTGCATAAGTCATATCTGGGAATTGATACATTGCTTAATAACACTGGCAACACTGGGAGGTATGTGCTTTTGGAAGGCTCCCTAGAACTGAACATCCCAATGAGAGGGGAAATGTAACCTGGCATTGGCAGAATGCAAGGTGCTGCTTCAAAAGAGCCCTTATTTTTCCTTCTGTTTCTTTCTTCTCTTTTTCCTCATTTCCTTAGCCTGTCCAGCCTTTCCTTTTATCAAAACTTGATTACTGTAGTGAACCAATACTCAGTGTGTACAACACATACTCCAAGGTGAATTCTTTGGTAACAAAAATTTAATCCTTCTCCATTTTTTAGCACTGCAGCTCTTTTCAGTGTCTTGTAAGTTAAAATATATGGTTTTGCAGTACAAAGTAAAGGCTTATATGACACAGGCAGAGAAATGCGAGTTCCATTCTCAAAGCATTTTTAGCAGATATACCACCTGTTCATTAACTTAAGAATCCTCAAAATTTAATAAGAAATTACACTTGTCTAAATTTCTAAGTAAAACATATAGAATTATTTATTCTTTATTCAATCTGTATAAATTTCTGCAGAATAAGAAAAATGTAGTTTGAAAAGTTTAAAGAGTATTGTAAAAAAACTTTTTACATATAAAATAGTATAGCATTAAAGATGGATCTTACGAGATTCACCAAGGATTGTATTTCCTACTTTTAGTGTTCTCAGCCAATATATTTTCTGGAACTGAATATCAGAATCAGAGAATCACAGAATTATAGAGGTTGGAAGGGACCTTTGGAGATCATCTGGTCCAACCCCCTGCTAAAGCAGGTTCCCTACAGTAGTTTGCAAAGGCAAGCATCCAGGTGGGTTTTGAATATCTCCAGAGATATCTCCACAAGCTCTGTGGGCAGCCTGTTCCAGTGCATTGTAACCCTCAAAGCAAAGAATTTCTTCCTCTTGCTCAGATGGTATTTCCTTCATTCCCATTTATGCCCATTGCCCCTTGTTCTGTCTCTGGGCACTGTTAAAAATATCCTGGCCCATCCTTTTGACATTCACCAATTAGGTATTTATAAGCATTGATAAGATCTCCTCTTGGTCTTCTCTTCGCCAGGCTGAGCTGTTCCACATCTCTCAGCCCTTCCTCATGAAGGAGGTGCTCCAGGCCCCCCATCATCTCTCTTCAGTAGCTCCCTGTCCCCAGAATGGGAAACAGCACACTAGAGAAGTTCAGTTTTAAGTTAATTTGTTCAGAGGTGAACATTTAAGGAATTTCAGTCTTTGAAATTGTCTTATTAAGTGATTATACACAAATTTAAGAAACTAAATTTTGAGAGCTGGGTAACATCTCTTTGCCTTCACTTAATATCTAAAAAAAACCAAAACTTGGCTGTATACTAACCTTAAGATATGTATCTATCTATCACAGTCAATATTTAATTTCGCAAAGAGATTTGAACAAATGGGTTTTGGTAGAAAAGGAAACAGTCAAACATCAGTTTTCTGAGTGAAGCAAAAAACATTTTCATTTGAAGGAGTATTTGCTTCATATTTAAGTGAATAAAATGCCTGGCTACAGAGTAAGCAGTTTTAATTTCATTTCTGGTAATCATGATAATAATATCCTAAAAAATCACTTATATGATAAAGAAGGATGAAAATAAAAGATCTAGGAAATGAATCACCACACAATGTAAGACGTGTTTCACTATCCCATGGAAAAATTATAACAAGTCTTGTTAAAATATGCAGTATGAGGCAACAATACTTGCACTCCTACCAAAAAAAAAACCAAACCCCCCCCCCCAAAAAAAGATGCCTAAATCTGGGAATTTGGGGCATCCAGTGCTCTTTGAGAGTAAATGGAAAACAGAAGTAAGACTCATGATCCAAGGCAGATTTCAACAAATCTACTTGTGTTGCAGCTAGATGAAGGAATTCATGTTTAGTAAATTAAGGTTATAAGCGGGCATTTATTTATTTATTTTCATTACAGAGATATGAAATGAGACAAGAAGTTTTCAACTGAAACACCTACTTGTTCGCATAGATTTTCTCTAAGAGAAAGAAATTTATAATTTTGTGCTTTAGATATGTCTTCAAATTATATATATATTTTTCCTGATTAAAAGCAAAAAGAGCTTCTAATCCATTATGCACTTCTTTACCTGTGTCTGCTTTGCCCTCTCTTTCATAGGTACATCCGTGCTGCCCATCTCTCTTCGAAACAGAAAAAAAATCCATTCAACATTTCTTCCTAAATTGAAAACAGAGGCAAACAAGGTCATTAAAGAAGAGGTTAAGCATAATTTCTAGCGCTACAAATGCATTTAAGACATAAATAGCAAAGTGATTTGGTTTCTTAATGCTTACTATGAATGTAAAACTGGTAATACTGAGTCTAAAATGTTGTGAAGTTGAAAGTTAGTATTAAGGGTTAGGAATTCAGTTGGAATTTAGGTGTTAGACATGGAGGTAATAACAGAGGCAAAAACTGAGCTAGCTCTGAAGAAATAAGGGTCGGAAGTAAGACTTGCTGAGTTTATGCCAGAGAAATGTTCGTTTGAACAAGTCATTCCACGAAATCTATTGCATGTATGCCAGCAGTCAGGAGCTTTTACAAAGGCACAGCATCACAGTGGGAAATTTTCCTGCTTGCCCCATGCAGCCTGGTGCCAATAACTGAGCATGAGCAAATACACTGTGTTTTAGATCTCCAGTTCAGACAGAGAGGTGTCATGCCACGTGCCACAAAATAAAATGAGATAAAAGGCATATACATAGGGATGTAAAGCTTACTTTGAAGCTACCTGGAGGGAGGGCCTCAGGTTGGGAGGACCTTGGCCTTGAATTTGGAAGTGTCCATTCCCAGGCCTTGCTTGTGGTTACAGTTGCTTGTTTTTGTTTTTGTTTTGTTTTTTAGTTCATTCACATGAAAAAGATGTGTGTCGTAACTTCTGGTGTCAGAACAAGCTTTTCTCAGTGGGTTTCCTCAGTAAACCTATTCTGGTTCAGGCCTTCTCCTGACACCCTTAAAAACTTCCCTGTAGCCTGTAATGAGGTTATCTCCAGATAATTCCCCCAAGTAAAAGAGGTTAGTCAGGTTATTAGCAATATATCCCACAAGTTACCTCAAGGAGGAGTGCACACATACCAACACATGCACTGCACCTTGGAAGTCCAAGTACTGACTCTTGTGTTTGTGGTACTGAGATTACCAGATGCACAGAGGTGAGAACTCTTAGGTTCGAGCACCTAATGGGACACTCTGGTTCTGTGAGTGAAGTTGATGGGTACCATCAAAAAAGTTGCTGCGCACAAGTAAAGAAAATCAGCTTTGTGCAGAGAGTCAGCTCACACAGCTCCCAGGCCTTGACCTTATGAGAAACACGGGATGACAGAAGGCAGAAGCTTGCTTCCACTTTCTTTTTCACTAGTGTTAATCACAGTGAGTACCACCTCTGCATGTGCTTGTTAGGGGATTCTGAGTTCCTGCAGCCTTCTGCCAAGAGTTCATTAATTACAAGAACAGCAGTGCTGCCTGCGCGCTCTGCCAGCATGCGGCCTGCGGACCTTTGATGGCGTGTGTTTATGCAACTGCAGACAGCTCTGGCGTCTGCTGTGCCTCACAGGGTGACAAGGAAGTGACAGTCAATTCAGGGGCATGCTCGTCTACCACTCCTGTGAAAACGTCCTACTTTCATCATGCCATGGAGGAGCCAATGTCAGTGCCCAGCATCATGAGCTCACCAATGTCACGCTCCCAGGGTAGCTGTGTGAACAGAGCAGCAAAGTTTAGGGGACTGGTATTTTGTCTCAGAAGGAGCTGACCACTGTTTAGGTCAGTGAAATATTGAGGTAAAACACTGCAGACTACATAGCAGGGGAACTATCTAATCTGGCCATCAGAGCCCTCCTGGGTCTCTAGCCCAGAAGAGTAGGCTGCCTGGATGTCACAGAAAACAAAAGGTAGACAAGAGTCAGCTGCTCCCTTGCTGCCCATTGACGTGGTTTGCACCATGCAAGGACCTGGTGCACAGTTTTTTGGGCCTCTTGATGGCTGTGAGTCATTCACATTCCAACTGGAAAATAAACTCATTTTAAGGCAGTTTAAACATGTAAAATTAGGGCTTAGTTTCTTGCTAGCACCGAACTCAGCCAAGGCAGCTATCTGTAATTTTAGAATGTCTCGAGAAGATTTATAGATCTCATGAAAACACTCTTTTCCATCTCCCTGGTGATTTTGCCTTCCACTTGCTTTTTAACTTCAGTCCATCTTTAGATCCAGTGGAAACAACACCAAAGCTAAACACAGAATGAGAGTGAGCTCACACCACCTGCAAAGACTTCTCATCTGGAGATGCCGTGTTTAACTTAGGAAGAACCCTACCCGTGCAGTGGGAGTTCAAATGAAAAACTTTCTGTAATAAATGTATTTTAAGGGTGTATATGGTGATACAAAGCACCACATTCGCTGATATTCTTGCCAGGATGCATTATAAAGGAACATGAAAATACAAATGAGTTTCATGAGCAGACATCAAACTTTTTTTAGATGTAAGACTCAAACAGAGCTTTGTGTTAAAAGGAAAATGGAATAATAAGATTGGATAAACTTTATATAATGATTATAACAGTGGAAGAAGCTTCTAAACATGGTGGGAAAACTATTGTGTATAAGAGCAGTAATCTTCTTATCAACAGTTCTTATGTACATGACCACAGTGATAATGATTAGTGTTTTCACACTTGGCAGTTATATGTGCTATCCTTACATATATTGTACATAAATAAAATATGCATCCATTACCTACATATTTGCATAATATACTGCTAAGGTTGAGGGGTGAGGTGGTCCCAGCTGTCCTCTGCAAAAAGTTCAAGAAGCTTGGTACCACAAAACGAGTAGTTTACAATCAGCTTGTGAGTAAGGTAGCAAACTGCCTCACCCGTTTTCTGTCATTCAAAAAATGGAAGCAGTGAGATGGAGTAACAGGCAAAGCAAAGTGTATGAAAGAGCTCTGAGTAGAGGCCAGCCATGAAATGGGTACAGAAAGAAGGACTTTTGACAGGAAAAGATAAGCTTAAACTTCAACAGATGACAGCTGAGCTCTGCAGCTACTGCAGATAATTTGAAATAAAATAGTAGAAAATGTGTGAGCCAACAAGCCTGTGTTCTTCTGAGCATAAATTCAGGACACCAGATTTTCTTCTTATTGTTTTCTAGTGTTTCAGACAGCTATTTTACAAGGAAAAAAATCAAAACCCACAATGAACACTGAATTAGGGAGCCCAGATCACTGCCATTTTGGACTTAAAACCAAAGATTTTTGATATTATCTTTCATGATGCTCTTTCACACTCATCACATTATCACAGAATCACAGAATGGCCAGGGTTGGAAGGGACCTCAAGGATCATGAATCTCCAACCCCCCTGCCACATGCAGGGCCACCAACCTCCACATTTAATACCAGACCAGGCTGCCCAGGGCCCCATCCAACCTGGCCTTGAACACCTCCAGGGATGGTGCATCCACAACCTCTCTGGGCAGCTGTTCCAGCATCTCACCACTCTCTCTGTAAAGAATTTCCCCCTGACATCCCCTGACATCATCTGCAGAGCTTACTTACTTACTGAGCTCTGGAGGTTCCTGCTACTGAATGTTGTGATTTCAATCTCAAATTGTCTACTAGAATGTTGTACTTGCCAGGAAAACATGTGGCTCAATGTCTGATATGATGCTGAATACTTTATTTCTTATATTACCTGATGCAACTCAATGGGCAAGAAAATTCTTTCTTTTTTTTCAATGAAATACAAGAACAGACTCCCTGGATTCATTTTCCAAGATCTGGTATGAGGGAGATTCAAAAGTCAAAAATAGATTGTCCATGGCTCCATATACAATCTAGGCTTTTATTTTTCTAGAAAAACTGGATGATGTGGTAGTTCCAGTGCTACTCAGAGAAGGCTATATGTTAGAAGTATATTACCCTTACAACTGCTGAAAAAGAGCCATATTCTTGAATGCATTTTGAAAATTCCTTTTTGCAGCCGCAAAAAAGTTAATCAAGTGTATTGCTCCAGCAAACTGATGATGGAATCATGTGTTTATAAAATTGTATTTATTTACAATTTTTTCTTGCTCTCATGATAAGTCAAATAATGATGAGATTGTGTTGCCTACAATACCAACAATTTTTCAGTTCCAGAAACACATTCAAGGCCATATATGAAAGGTTTCACATTGTAATAGGACCTTATTTTTCTGAATCTGTTTCTGAATTCCATTTTCTACAGAGCTATTCAGCACACAGCACAGCCTTAAAAGTACCCAGAAAAAGTTCTTCCATTTCTCCTTGGACAGCCTTAGCAGCTGTGCATTTCTCTTTACTGTGGATGGGAATATGAGCGTCACACTTTTAACAGGTATCTTATAATTAAAGTTTATTGCTTCGATTGCCGAGTGGCAGAAAGGAGGTGACACAACCTGTTGACTTCACAATTACTTTATAGACACCCATTTGCTAGTATGAAAATATTATCTGCTTACTCAGATGGATATTGTAGCAGCTGCAATATAGTTTAACCCGCACAACAATACACCCAGCAGACATTAATGGGAATTAACACAACGTGCATGCGTTGCCAGGAGCAGGCTGATGCAATCCTCAGTTCAGCTGGAAAAAACTATCACGAGAAGTCTGGCAAAGTAAAGTCACAGTGCTACAGAAAGTGGCAAATCCCCTACATTTTGAGGAGAGCTGGGTGCTAATGAGACAGCACATGCATTTCTGGCTCATTCGTGTGTCTCTTGTGACAAGGAATTAACAGCACAGTTAGTATCCAGAACAGTTGCTCTGAACTCCATCTCTCCAGGCAAGTGTTCCCATTGAGTTTCATCCAGTATCTTGACTCATGGGCTGTTTATTTTTCTGGTGAATGTCCTTCACCCGAGCACTGCAGAGAATGTACACGCCGACCTGTAAACATTATTCCTTCATAGGAAATACTTCATTTTGACCTCAATTCCTTACTGAAACCCACCATATAGAATAACCCAAACAATGGGACTGCCTGAAGCCAAAAGAAGGTATATCAGCTGAACCCAGTCTCTTTCAAGTCAGAGACAAACTATGTGGGTCAGCCCACAAGCAATGCATTAATTCTGAAAATATGTAACTGATATTGGGAAGAAAAAAAAAGGCAACAACTATAAAATATTCATTTTCGCCAGAAACAGGAAA